CCCCCGGGAAGGATGAGTCGCCTCCCTCCCAACCGGAGCATCCTCCCGCCCGTCGTGAAGCACCAAGTCACTGCCACCTTCCGTCACAAAGCAGCGCCGTGAGCTCCTCCTAACGCAGCCCCTTCTACAGAGATCAGCTACAGCGCAGAAAAGAGCCGAGAAGACAACCGAGGGACTTCTCAGGGCCGAAGGCAAGCGCCTCCCGTCCGAGCGCCGTGCTCTCAGGCCAGCTCACCCCGGCTCACCCCCCCAGCAGCTCCCTCGGGAGCAGAGCGTGAATCGGCAGGAAGCTGCCGGGTGTCCTGCGACCTCGTGCTCACTGGGCCCCAGGGACAGAGAAGTGGCAACACATGTGAAGGAGCCGACTTTTGCAGTCGGCAGGTACCTGCGGAGTTACTGCCATGGGCCAGGTACCGCCCTGGGAGCTGACCTGGGAGCTGAGCAGACACTCTGCCTGGACTCAACAGAGCGTGGAGTCAAACGGGAAATACAGACATCGATGAAATGACCACACACGCAGACACGGTCATTTCACTAACCTGAGACTTCAGGGGGGCGGGGGGAGAGCAAGACTCGCCCTCTACGGCAGAGCCACCCGGATTCTACCCAAGGACATGGGGTTGCTCTAAGCTTAGAACTTGTTAAGAATCAGTTAATATCTTTTACTTTAAGAACAGTTTCCTAATTCGTCTTTTACATGATAGATCCCTTCAAACTTGAGTCAGAGCCCCCAGGGTATTTCAGGAATCGTTACCAACTCTACACCAGTCCCGCACTCCTGCTGACCAAACCCAGAAATCTGCGGTCTGAGCCCGTCTTACTAGACCTGCCGCATCAGCGGGTGAAACCTGTCCCTGATAAAGTCCACTGATGGCAAGAAGGGCGCTGAGCTCATCACCACACAGGCATGAGGTCACTCGGACAAATCTTCCCTTCCTCGGCGGCCTCAGCACGGTGACTCTGAGCTGGGGGTGAGGCTTCGCAGGGCACTCGGCCAGGAGTTAGTTTCCAGATGGTGAAGGGAGAGGCATGTCCCCCAGGTAAATGGATGTGCTCCCCTGTGTGTGCGGAGTAGGAGCAGAGAAGGGAGGAAACTGGACTGGACAAGAGCAGAAAACTAAACGACAGTCACCTTCAAACGACGATCACCTTCAGTGGGGGGCGGATTTATCACAGACATGGGCTCTTGCATGAGCCTTCAGCAGGTATTTGCCCAAAGAGGGTTTACCCTCGGAACTTCCCACTGGACTTAACTCCTGCTCCTAAAGGTGTAGCTGGCCCAGGATTTTATGTTAGTCGTCTCTCTTTGTCTTGCATTGACAGCTGTTTTGTAGAATTTCGCATTGTGTGCTTGCGTTTCTTTTTAAAATTAGGCCTATAATTGTTTTTATTGGTCACTAACTCACCAAGACATTTTGCTGGTGGTTGGCTGTTTGTGCTCAGGGTGGGAAGTCCCTGAAATGGAAAATCAGATAACCGATGGCAGTGAGTCACTCTCACCAGGGACTTCAAACAGCTCAGCATGATGGCATCTGTGATAACAGGAATGGTGTCTCCTCTGCAGCTTCACAGTCAGGAGGCACCTCCAGCGAGCCTCCTGCACCTTGCAGGCGAGGACAGCAACCCTGGGAGAAGCGCAGGGACCCAAGTGGGGGAGCTGGGTACTGAACCCTCACCGGGGAGCAGGGTTCGCAGCTACTGCTGGAGAGTCTGCCAACGCCTTGCTCGGGAAGCCTGGGGGGCCTTTGTAATGGAATGAAAACTGCAGGCTGTCACCTGGTTTTTCAAAGCAGCTCTGTGACAAAGTCTTTAAGGGCCACTAAGAAACACGAGGTTTCTGCATCAGCCAGGCCCAATCAAAGGCCAGCTCTCCTATTTGCTGGTGACGATGCTCATCTTCACTGGGGTCAGACTTGCCTCTAGGAATCCTGTGCTCTCACTAGGGCCATGCAGATGGAGCCCCTGGTTCTGCTTCTAAATGCTCCTCACAGTGACGCCCTGAGCAGAGATTCCTCGCTAGGCTCTAGATCTGCCAGAAGACAGAATTTACAAACAGACAATAGCCAGACCACATGTAATAATAGACTCTGACCCACAACCTTCAGCAACCTGGCCAGAAAACCAACCTCTTATCCCCAAGAACCCAGGAAGCCAGCTTGCTGTGTCCGACCTGGAGGAGCCAGCTGCCGCCTCCAGGGACAATCCAGGAAGCTAAGCAGTAGCTTCTGCCACAGCCAGCTCCCAACGGCCAGGACTTCTTCAGTAACTGGCAGCTCTTCCAACTTTTGTCCCTGTTTCCAACTCAGGACCAACCAGAGAAAGCCCCATACGCTCCTCTAGCCCATCACAGAAGGTGCCCGGCTTCCAGTGAACTCTGTGAACTCTGCCGAAGCCTTAGTGATGGTGCCGACTCCCTTGCCTTCGGAAGCCAGAATAAATAGCCTTTCTTTTCTCGTTTGGCTGGTTTTTGTTGATTTCCACACTGTTCAAGGCATCCCCCAGAGTAGAAGTTTGGCGAGCACATGGCCAGCCAAACGCAGATACGTGTTCCAGCCTCCCTTGCAGCTAGATGCACTCATGACCCTACTCTGGCTGATGGGATGAAGCTGAAACACTGAGTGGCAGCATCAGCAATGTACCTTAAGATACAGCCAGCAAGTGCCCATTGTCCCTTCAGGCTGGGGTGGTGACGTCACCAGCTGTAAACAGACTTGTCTCTGAAAATCTGATAGGTCTGAGCTGCTACACTAGCCCCAGAATTTTATGTAACAAAGAAATACACGAAACAATAATATCACAGTAGCTTCAAATTACACATCCTTACATGTGTGATGCACTGTTCTAAGCTCTTAATAAATATCAATTAATTAACCACTTAAAATAGGCTACAAAGTGGACTTTATTATTGTTCTGATGTTCAGAAAATGTGGCTCACAGAAATAAGCTGCCCAAGGACAGCAGTGCTTAGGCTACTGTTTGTTACTTGGGGGTTCCTATGAGTTATAGCTGATCTTCTACCCAATTAATACACATTTAGAAAAGAAAGTTAAATAACTGCTAAGTGGCCCAATCGGGGTTTGACGTGTGAGGTTGGAATGCAAAGCCCGCGCTGTTCTTTAGTGAGGCCGCCCAGGAACGGTCAGGCTGCTCGACCATCTTTCTGCCCCTCTGCCTGACGCGTGGAGATGCAGAAACAAGGGGCTCTGCTCAGAGAAACCCACCTGCAGGGTCCGACTCCAGCTCCCAGCAGACAGGCTCTGGGTCGGCTCCCAAGCTGGCTTCTGAGTGTTCACGCACCTGAGTCCCCAGCGTGAATTTGCCAGGTAGGCCTGTCACTTATTACACAGCTACCACAGGTCAATTTAAAGTATCTGACATACCCATACATCTAACTGACAGCCCTAAGAGTAAAAATAAATATTCGGTTTGTTTGTTTTCTAAGCCTTACCTTTATCATTCTGGACAGATCACCAGCATCGGCTAATTCCAAAACTATGTTGAGTTCATTGTCCTCAATGAATGATGCATAATATTTAATTACATTTGGATGGTTGAGTTGCTAAGGAGAAAAAAAAGGCATCAGAAAGTTTTCTTATTGTAAATTTCCAATAGTTTCACAACTTAAGAATAAACGTAGTTAGTGCGTTTCATTTCTAAGTTACAGAAATCTTAACATGCCTGTATTTTTCTTTAATCTTGTGAATTTTAAAACAAGTGCTGTAATTATTGAAAGTAAAACTAGGTATCAATTAATTTTATTTTAATATCCTTTATTAGAAATAGTAAATTATGCACTTCAAGTTTTAAAAAGTACTGCTATGCCCAATAAACACATCTATATATGCATACAAACACATGATATAATTAAATCATCAATTGCTAAAAATTATTTCCTTCACGATGAGAACTCAATGGTAAACAAAGTTTTCCTTTTTGCTCCTATTTTGAAGTTAGGGCTGATCCTAGTATAACTGTGTGCAGTGGTTAAAAGACAAAACAAAAATTTTAAAAATTTTAACTGGCATTTGATATATTGTACCTGAATAGAGCTTTTACATCAAATGACTTAAACATACTGAACTTATCTAGGGAACCAATTCATAAAATCACCCTAAGACAAATTTCACCATCTAGAAATGCATGAATCAGTACATACACATTTCTGATCTTTTTGTACAATCTTTTTTTCAACCTTTACACAAGTTAACGTAAGACAAAGAGTTTCTCAAAGAGAATTATTCCAGTTACTCTAGAGAGAACACACACGACTGGCTAGTTACCTTGAGCAGGTCTATTTCTTTGATGCAGTCAGCACGGGCTTTGGCATCCATCAAGTCAAATATCTAAAAACAGAATCCAGAATTCTTTAATAAGATGGTAATCTATGGTTCAAGCCACGACGTAAATTCATTACGGTATTTTATACATAATTATACACACACTAAAAGTTTTTCTTCCGGATCAATCTTTAGGGGCTGTAGAGGTCTGTGGGCATTTTATTTCACAGAGAAAAGCCACTCATTCCCCAAAGTCCCCAGATGAGGCCAGGGCAGCGACGTTACTATGCAACACGTTAAACAACAGAAACGCGTGTTAATGTACAGAGAAAGGGGGGGACTTGATGTTGGTTACGGGAATCGCGCACACACACACACACACACACACACACACACGTGCACACAGACTACGTATGCTTTAAAAAATCCAAACGGCAAGAAGAATCGCCGACTCCTGCCAGGTCCTGAATGCTGATGTCATTCCCAGGAACCTCGAGTCACATGGGACTTGAGATAACGCAGAAATGTGGGAAGTACAACATTTCAAAGGTCCCAGACCTTAAAGGGATTCCTGAAATTTTTTTAGGAGATAAAGGATAATTCTGGAACTAGTGATTAAAATAAAAATGTCGCAGGCCTGGAGACAGATATTAATCCAATCTCCCAGTAATCAACGTCTCTCTGCTGGAAAAAAATATTTAAAAACAAAAGACAGTGAGTGAGACGGACAGAAGATGTGTGAGGGCGTTGAGAAGTCTTAACTCGACGGGAAATACAGACAGGACGCGCCACACAGAGGTCGTGGGCCTCTAATTTGCCTTAGATTAAGCTGCTTCAGGATTAACTGTTAATCAGAAGTCACTCCTCAAACGCTGCGAAGTGAGCACTGCTGGCACATTTATGGCTAAACTGAGTTCTGAACCAAATACATTTATAATGACATTTCCTTGGAAATTCCGAAGTGTCTTATCAATCTTTCCCTCTCAGCCAGCAAGTCAAGACAAACTGAAAACCGAGCCTGCAGACGAAACCCTTCCCAGACCCAGCGAAGCTGTCTCACGCAGGAGCAAGAAAAGGCGACACACGTGGGAAAACAAGGATCTGGACTCTGTAAGAATGTTTTTCATAAAACATTTGCAGGCTTAGCTTCAGCAGCCATCTTCTCAGCTCCGCGACGTCCCCTCTGCACTTGGTAAGGGCACAGTCACGAGCAGCGACCGGGCAAGTGCCGCTGCAAGTTCTTGGCAGGCTCTGAATCATTCGAGAAGTTTTCTCCCGCCACCTTCATTCTGCCCGAGTTACCGACGACTGAAGGACAACCCTAGGAACCTCCAGGGGGTGGGGGCATCAAGGACCCGCAGGAACGGCCCTGAAGGTATCTGTCAACATGTTAGCAGAAAAGCACACACACCGCAGCGCAGAGAGCACGTGACACACACGCACAAAGTTCGGCAGGCCTGGCGCGTCTCACTGTAAGTTTTACTTGACTGGACGTCTTACCCGAATTCCTCCTGGGTCCCCCAGCTGCACGGAGCCCACCCAATGCGCTGAGCAGCCTGTCCCCAAACTGAGCCCCCGTGACGAGACCTCGGGCTCCCCTCCTGACCCCGCCCGGGGCCCGGCTCTGTTCACCGCCATGTTCACGCCCCTCTTGGGCCTGGTGCCGTCACCACGTGTCCTTCCCTCTGTCCGAGGCATCAGCACAACTAAAACTCAATTTCCTGTGCGCTTCCCTCCATTCAACCTGTCGGCACAACTGTTAGCTTCCCCAGAATCCCCGATGCAAGACAGTGATTACCCAACTGATCAGGACACACTTCTCTATTGATTATTGATTATTCAGAGTGTGATGTTATATTGACTTACAGAATTGAAATCCGCTTACCTGCACCTTTTTTAAAGCTACTGGTACTCCATCCAGGAGACAGGCTGCTCTATACACTTCACTAAATTGCCCGCGACCAATTTTCTTCTCTATTCGAAAGTTGGCCAACGTGTTATAGCCCATGTCCGGTCGTAAGGCCTTCTGTAATTAAAAAGTAGAAGAGTTTTCAGTCGCACGATATACACAACCAGCAATTGTTTTCGCATCAGCAGGGGCCTAGGGGCCTAGGGGCCTGCAGCCGCCGCTCAGCCAGCAGCTGCCGAGTCCTGCTGCGGGCACGGGGCCGCCCAGAGCCCTGCCCGCAGGGAACTCCCATTCGGGTGAGGAAGGAAAGTGATGAACAAGGCGGGCGTGAGAACACGTACATAGCGTGTCAGACGGAACGGGTCAGCAAAACTGCAAAATCCTGCCCACGCGGGAGCGTAAGGCAAATACAGTGTTTCTCAAAACCATCAGCAGTTGTTACAGTAATAACAGGACGGCCTCTGCGGACACAGAGGCCTCCGTGTGCCGCCTCCGCACCAGCGGCCCTGCGTGTAGGACTTCACACACCACGGGACCCAACCCCAGACATCTCGTCAGGCAGGCGCCATCCAGCCACAGCCGCGCCTCCCTCACTCCCAAGCAGGCCTCGCTCCGCTCCCAGGGACTAAACAAGGCTTCCGCCCTGTGACCCAACATTCCCCGACCCTCCGCGATAATCCAGATAATTCCAGCCTCAAGTCCTGATGAGAAAATGAAACTGGGAATAGAAACATGTCAGAAATGAGACGGAAAGCACGAACACACCACCAAGAAAAAGAAAACTGAAGGTACCCAGTGAGGGAGGCCACCGCGTGCTGTTCAGTCACAGGAGGTTTCTTTTCTCGGTCACTGAGACTCACGCCAAGTGTCCCAGGCGCAGAAAGGTGCCCACGTAACAACAAGCTTCCACAGTCCCACTTCTCAGATAATGGCGATCGACAGCTTTCGGTTTCTGAACTTTAAATCCCTTCCTGTCCCGTAGGGGGCAGCCCAGCTCCCCCCTGATGAGCACCTGCCACTCCACAGCAGGGCTCGGCGTCGTGGCCGGACCCCGTGGCACCACCACGCGGCCACACTCCAGGGTGACCGGGACCGGCTCCTGCCGGCACGGTGACTGACAAACGCTAGGCGACCGCTAAGGCGGTGTGACGGCCGCCTGCGGGGGGAGGCTGGCTGCCGGGATCTGGCGGGCAGGGTGGCCGCACATTTACATACGCGATGACCTACATCTGCATGTGGATCGCACCGTCTGGGCGGTTAAGCCCGGCGCCGCCCCCAGCTCGGCGGCCAGAGCGGCGACGGAGGCCAGAGGGCGTTTTGGCAGCCGAGGGATGAGCTGCCACCGAGGATTAGGCCGATGTGGCCGAGCATTCGACACTTCATTACACGTAATCTGTGCAGCAGTGGGCAGCGTGTGTAAACTTCACAGCCCATTTGCGGCACCTTCTCCCCCCGTGGCCCCCCTCAGAGGGCAGCGCGGCTGAGTGACAGCCGGTCTCATCTGCCCCCGTGTCCTGTCACCCGCGGTAGACGTGGAGCTGACACGGAAGGATCAGAGCGGCGCATCTCTGAGCGCGTGGTCTCCCCGCCGCACCGCAATTTGTATAAACACAAGCTGTGCAGAGGAGGCCTCCAGGAGGCCTCGGACAGGGAGGCAGCGCGGAGCCGCGGCAACGAGCCGTCAGGCTGCTTCACGCCCACGGCCACACCGCCCCGCGGGCAGCACCGTGTCGGGCGCTTCCAACAAGAGGACGGGGCCACCGGGTGAGTGGCCTCTTTTTTGAATGACGCCCAGTTCCCCTGATTTTTTCGGTTGAGCACTGGAGTTACGCTGGGAATGAGGTAACTCAGCAGAACAATGAGATTCATTCAAATCAGGATGAATCGTAAACCAAATAAAATGACTGAACGGCCTTTTCCCTGCTCTCCGTTTGGTGCATAAACTGGGTCTCAATCGCACGCAGTCCCTAATGACCAGGCATTTTTCTGAGCCTCGCAAAATGGCTTTTGGATTTTATGAGTCACCTGAAGGATCTTCAGCATGTACAAAAGTAAAACCTACTACTGTTTCTGACGCTATAAATAAGCACACGACGCCTCCCCGATGACAGAGGCTCTGTCCCTTCTGCACCTGGCCTGAGGCCTCACCCACCAGCCACGCCTTTTGCTCCCCAAGTGCACCAGGCGCCACAGCCTCTGCACGTGAATCAGGGAGAAGTGGGCTCACTAGGGAACGGGCTCAGATCTGGGGAGAAAGGCCCCGCCTCGGCCTCCGATGGCTTCCCAGCAGCAGATGTTACTCACGACTCTGAAAATTCAAAGTCACACAGGACAACTAAGAAACCAACCCCAGAGCGGACGAAGCTTCACCTAACGCTTGAAGTGTTCCGGGTTCTTAGGGCGAATCTCGGGTGGCTCTGACCCATTCTGACCACGTCGCCTGGTCTTGCTAACTAGCTGGGACTATCCACCTGGCGGTCTGAGCTCATTGCACATAAATGCTCTTCTTAAAATAACATTCGCTGTGCGACGCCCCCGGCGCCTCTTCTCACAGGTGCAGACTCTTTAAACAATTAAGAATCCCTAGGACTAAATGAATTAATTTGCTCCCAATTTGAAGCCAGGGCATTTACTAAGCGATAGATAATTCGGGATAGCACTACGATGATGATTCTCTCTGGGGAAATTAAAGGAGTCGCCGTGTGGACTCCAGACTCCCCAGAGAGGAAATCATGTCCCGGTAATTCCCAGAGGGGCTGTTATCAACGATCTAACACACAGCCAGCATTAATTACAGTTAGCATCGTTAGTAAGGTTTCCATTGTTATTGCATTCGTCTCTTACTGCTGGTTTTCACATACCAATTATGCACATTAATAAATTTCTTTATGTTTTGTATTAATGTTATGAATTTTAACAGAATTTAAAAGAAAACTTTAAAAGGCCCTTCAATTTTATTTGTCAATAAAGCTCAACCTATGAACTTGAAAAATTACACGAGACATCTCGTCTCCAAAGCACACCTGCTAGACTACTGACCATACCCAGCAAACTGCCACAGGTTATTTCCTACGAGCCTCACTGTAAACCAGACAAAGCAGCAGCAGCACACGCGTGCACACGCCCGTGTGCTAACGGGCTGATTCTTCAGGCTCCTTCTCCTTTGAAAGTTACCTCCCTGGAATTTTGGGCATTTCAAAAGTACCTGTTTCCTAAAAGTACTAAGCGATGAAGATTTACATCGGCTTGAACAAGATGCTGGTGATCACTGTAACCAGCCTTTTATCAAACAAAAGAGGAAATTCGCGCAGCGTAAGGAAAACGACAGGCCAACTGTAACCAACTACCTAGCTCCACAGCTACTAGTCCCTGGGATTGGTATTAGTTAATCACCATGAGTTACCCCGCCCAGATAATAATCACTACCTCCCGATTCCATAACCAATAATACGGATTCTCCTGCCCGCTTATCACAAGCTGTTAATTAACGGCAGGGACTCCCGACTCGCCCCCGAGCCCCCCAGCTGCACCTGGGGAAATTAAACACGGCGAGAAACAGCCTCCGACTGAGAAGCGCACACAGCGGCAGAGACGGAGAATTAGAGGGAAAGGTTTTCTAAAATGTTTCCATTTATTCCACAAAGTTAACAGGGGCAGGGGTTAAACACACAAGGACATGACACAGAAACAAGAAACGGACAGTAAACATGCGCACGAGTATCTACTGTTCTATAAACTTGAGAACTACGCAGGGAGGTGAGTGGATTTTAGGTTCGGGGTTGGTTACTGCAGACTGGGTGTTGGTTATTGCAGACCAGGTGTTGGTTATTGTAGACCAAGTACTAGTTACTGTAGACCGGGTGTCGGTCATTGTAGACCGAGTACTAGTTACTATAGACCGGGTGTCGGTCATTATAGACCGAGTACTAGTTACTGTAGACCGGGTGTTGGTCACTGTAGACCGAGTACTAGTTACTGCAGACCGGGTGTTGGTCATTGTAGACCAAGTACTAGTTACTGTAGACCGGGTGTTGGTCACTGTAGACTGAGTACTAGTCACTGCAGACCGGGTGTCGGTCACTGCAGACCGGGTGTCGGTCACTGTAGACCAGGTGTTGGTCACTGTAGACCGAGTACTAGTTACTGCAGACCGGGTGTTGGTCACTGCAGACCGGGTGTCGGTCACTGTAGACCAGGTGTCGGTCACTGTAGACCAGGTGTTGGTCACTGTAGACCGAGTACTAGTTACTGCAGGCCGGGTGTCGGTCACTATAGACCGGGTGTCGGTCACTGTAGACCGAGTACTAGTTACTGCAGGCCGGGTGTCGGTGACTCCAGGCTGGGTGCTGAGGGGCGGCCTGGCGGGGGCTCTCGCGCGGGGGGAGGCAGGAGGCAGGAGCAGGGGGACCGGCCGAGCAGCGTGGGGAGGGAAGGCGGGCTC